GGGGGAAATGGGGGAAGGCAGAAGAGGGGGGGGGGGGGGGGGAACGTAAACCACCGAATTAAATTGGTCTGGCCTTATGAGTTACCCAATATTAAATTTTAGGTTCTGTAAATCATTGGGATTTTAAGTACAGTTATCCGGCAAACTCTTATAATCATAAATAACTTTCTGCACATTATTTTTTTTCATGTGATACAATGTAATCGTGTTTATTCAAATTAAAACTCAGTCAACCACTCCCTACCAATCATGATCATAAAATTGCTGGATAACACCATTATTGGGCAAATTTGCGAATACGTCAATTTAGCAAATGATTGGCTGTACGTGCCGCTTTGCGGCACGTGTTCATTTGCTAAATTGCCGTTATTCACAAATTTTTGCCCAATAATGTATACTTAATTGATTATATTTATTTTGATCAAAAATTTCACGCACCAGAAAGTTGTAACGTTCAATTTTTAAAAATTAATAAGAAAAATATGAAAATTGTATTTTAAATTAAGCATTCGAGATTTTATTTTTTTGCATTAATTAATTTGGCATAATTTATTTATAGGATAATGAAATTTAAAAATTCAAGAGTTCTAATTTTTATTAAATTTCGGGATCTATTTGCAGCCAGAGGTGTGACCAATCATTGTGTGACAAATAAATATTAACTAATTTATTTGTATAGTTAGTGCTTATTTGACATACAAATGATCAAAGAAGTGAAATAATGATAGCGCAAAAATTTGGCGGTCCAGTGACTAATTAATAAAACAATGGTATCTTAATTTTCGTCTGAAAATTAAGTTTGAATTGGGATAATCTATCTAAATTTTTGTGCCGAAAACTTTTATTTAATTATAAAAGCTAATTTCCCTTGCAAATTAATGAGATTTTTGTGATTTTTTTTCACCTTTAATTTTTTACTTGTACACATTGATTGATCACGGGATCGCCAAATTTTTGCGACACACCATTTCACTCGTTTGAAGACTAGAAAGACAGGAGGTGCCAGGCTTTAAATGTTCCCTTATATTTCATTGACCTGGGTCATTCTGAATCGGTGAAAATTCATGAATGAGCTAGGTCAATCAGGAATCGACCAAAATTGTAAAATGAGCAAGAGCATATATATGCATACTCACATTGTGATGTTTACTGTATTATAAAATATACATCAGAAAGTCAGTGATCGAATTAACATGGTTAATAGTAGGTTATGAACCCCTGAGTTGGTTAGAGCTACGTACGTATTAAGAAGTAATTAATCAATGGTAGGACTAGGGATGGGCAAATCGAAGATTTTTTGAAAATACTGCGCAGGCTGCGCAGCATGCACGGGCCTGCATTATGGCTAATGCGGGCCAAAATTGATAAATTTCGATGGTTTCCGGCATATTCCGACCTTCCGAAATATTCCGCTTGCGTAGCGGCCCATCCCTAGGTAGGACTAGTGACTGGACTCGTCAACTTGTGACTCGAATAATTCGAATTTATGATGTACATTAGTAGGTGATAATCATATGTTATAATTTATTAGTATAAAGAGCATTCATTCAAGATCTGCTAGTACGAATGCACCGAACTCATGTATTTAAGGAAGACCTTGAGACCTTAATAAAGAGAGAGGATAACGAGATGTCTTGAAGTCATTCACTAATACCATCTACGTACAAGCTTTTATTATTAATTTATCACCCGTTAAGGCCAGACCAATTTAATTCGGTGGTTTACATTACATCCTTCTCACAAAAGAGGGGGGGCTGGAGGGAGTTTATTATAAAAATTTTCTCCGAAATGATCCGCTATATTATAAATTTTTTCCGAAATTTTTAGTGAGGGGGGGGAAATGGGGGAAGGCAGAAGAGGGGGGGGTAATGTAAACCACCGAATTAAATTGGTCTGGCCTAACCATCAGGGCTAAATTGTGCAAGTGTGCGTATTGCTTTCCCAACCAAGATGGTAACAACGTCTATATATTGAATATAAACGTTATGATTGGCTACTGATTTTATTACCTGGGGGAGGGGTTTGGCCTTCTAATAAAAATAAATTACGTAATAAACAGCACACCCCAAACTAAGTGATATAATAACATTCACAATCTTTAAATTATTTGTGACAGACACAATGACTAGTTATGGTAAAGTCCTTAAGTACATGAGGACCTTGTCTTAAAGCCTGCACGACTAGACCTAAAAGCCTTAAAACCAAGACTGGACCTGGACTAACTTTACCATTCCTATCTGTGATATCTATAATTTTGATAATTTGCATTCAGCTGTGTGTAAACATCTCTTTCTAATTTAATCGTTTATTTACTTTAGAGTCGAATTTGTGTTACATAGCATTTGCAAAAATAATAAAGTCGATAGCAAATACACAATGCCAGTTAATAAAAAGGTGCGCATCGTGATACACAATATCGGTTAATTAAAAAGTGTGTATTGTGAGAATTGGGTGTTCATAAAAAAAAAAGAAAGGAAATTTCTATAGCTTCCTTAACACGAAAAAGTACATATTAATACTTATACCCATTAAACAAAAAAAAAAAAAAAAAAAAAAAATAGAAATTTCTATAGCCTCCCAAAGCTAAAAAGTATATATTAATATTGCCTATTAAAAACAAAAAAGGGGTAGATTAACAATCGAAAATTCTCTTAGCACATATCGATATAAAAAATGGCATGCACAAACCGGAATATCAATATACGGATACGTGGGTTATACAATACATACTTCTAACAATTACTAAAAAAGAATTATCTATTAAAATTATTGCGTCATAATATTTGTAGACAATGAGTGAATAAATAGCAATTTCGCTCTTAGAATGATTCTGTTTGTGTAAGTGTATATATGCGGGGTAGATTGAAGAAGCGTGAACCCCTTATATCACATTTCAACATAATCACATTTATAATATTCCCTCGTACTAGGGTTAGGAATGGGTTTGTACTAGGGTCTGTATTACCAGCAGAATACTTGTACGTAAATATACAATGTGATTATGTAGAAATGTAATATAAGGGGTTCACACTTCTTCAAGTGTCCCATTACTATAAAGTAAGTAATAACTTTCTCATTGTGCAAAAAAACTATAAAAAAAAGGTAATATAAACATTGTTGCAAACCTGGAAAAGCTTTCGTTAATCGTCACACGTTTAGTATTGGTCCACAGGTTATTATTAAAGAGTGTATAATGCATATGTATTTTATTTATTATCCAATGCAAAGCGGGAGAGAGTTAGTACTTTATTATGGGCGAGTTAAGTGAGAGAAAGTCTACATTTTATTAAGGCATGCACTGTATTTATACATTTTGGGGTACAAGGGTTTCAAACCCGGATCTAGGGTTCCAAACCGGATCTGGGGCCTTAAACACAGACCTGGGGTTCCAAATCCGGATCCAAGGTCCCAAACCCGTAATTACTACCTAGCCTAATGAAACAAACGATATATATAGAAAAATAAAAGAGGAATTGCATGTGAGGAAAAAAAAGTTTAAAAAGTTTTCGTAACAACATACCTTGAGGTCTTATAAAAATGCCGGAAAGCAATTATAAATTCAATTCATCTAAAGAAAAATTATCGCATACATTAACCAGGGTCTTGTTTAAGAAATTTGTGTTTAAATTGAATGGGTACTGTTTGCGAATATAGTGATTTTATTGGCGCAAAAGAGGGTGCTTTATCAGTGTCAACGGCGCCTGTCTGCATCTTATAATTAAATGAATCGATTTTTTTCTTTTTTTGGCCGGAAGCCAGCAGTGACAACTACGTTACATCACTAGTATATATAGATTGAAGTAGTCGTATAATTATGCTAATCTTAAACAATTATGTCTTGTTTAATAAAAGTAGAAATCGATCAACGCAAATTATATCGTGTTTGTAGTAGTATGCAAAGAATATAAAAATTCAAATTGGCACAGTAAAAATAAATAATAAATAAATAAGCTTGCCAAATGACTGGGTATAAATTAGGGATTTAAGTACATCAGTTAAAAAATTCGAGTTAAAAAAAAATTGTTTATCATGTCAGAAAATAAAAATAACAATTACTTAACGGCTGAGTATTATACAACTAGGCGTGCTTATAACGAAACTAAAAAAGCTTATATTGAGAGGATTAGTAAAAATAAAATAATAGACTTCATCCCACGGAATGAGATTGAGGAAAAAATAGAATATGTTGATGTTGGAGGTTCTGGGCTTATTACAAAGGCGAAATGGATAAAAAAGAATATAACTGTTGTTTTAAAGACAGTGATAGTTTCTGAAGAAACAAATTCAGATAATGATGAATTTATTAAAGAGGTCAGGATGACGTGTCAACTAATTTTATTTATATACTAATACAATTTTTTTTCATTTAATGTAATTGAGCAGATTAAGGCTTTTCATAATATTGGACTAGTGCTTTCAAGTAAAACGAATGAAGAAAATGAAGAAAAACCATCTCTTGTAGGATATGAAAATGTAATCAAATTTTATGGTGTATCGAGGTATCAATATCATGTAACTTTTAATCTGCATCAGCAAGTTGCAAAATGAATATGTATTTTGTTGAAATTTGAACTTTTTTTTTCAAAAAAAAAACGATCGTTAGCGAAGAATCCGGTAAATTATATATATATTAACTTCAATTCATGACTATATCTTAATGCATTTCACTATCATTTCTATAAATAGACCTTTATCTGGTACTCGAGTACGCAGACCTTGGTAATTTGCGTTGTTATTTGAATAAAAATACTATAAATTGGGAACAGAAGGTCGATATTGCAAGACAGGTTACCAGTGGTCTATATTTTTTACATACAAATGAAATTTTACATCGTGACCTAGTAAGATACCATTATTTAACATTCAATTAACATTGTTTAATGTATAATTAATAAATTTTATTTATATTAGCACACTAAAAATGTGGTTATCAAAGAGGATGGAAATGGTATTAGAGCCATTATTACGGATTTTGGACTTTCAAAAGTTATTCCCCGTAATAGCAAATCAAATCAGCAAGTGGGAGGATGCGCACCATTTATAGCCCCTGAGGTATTAAATAATATTGCAACACCTGACTACAAGTCTGATATTTATAGCCTTGGCGTAGTTTTATGGGAAATCACAAGCAATGGTCGACCCCCGTTTGAAAAATTTGAAAACGATCTTAGAATTGCGATCCAAACAATGAAGGGAATACGAGAACAACCAATAAATGAGTCAACTGATTCCTATGTTAAACTTTATACAAATTGCTGGGATGGTGATCCTAAGTCGCGACCAGAAATTAATCAGGTATATGAATCAATACGTCAAGAAGACATAATATCAGGTGAAAAATGGAAAGAGTTACCACAAAGTTGTAATTCATCACAAAGTAATGATTCACCAAAAAGTAGTGATTTATCACAAAGTAGTAATTTATCACAAAGTAGTGATTCATTACAAAGTAGCATATCTGATGCCGATACCGGTGAGGAATATGTTTCATTAATTAAATTTTGAATTAATAAACGTTTATTAAATATAAAAAATAATCTAATTTAGAATCTAATAAAACCAATGACGAAGAACTTCTTAATATTATGTCTGAGGCGTTTGGACATCTCTCTACCGAAATTCGTGAGAGGATTCTACAAATTTCTGATGGTTAGTGTTCTAAGAACTGTTGTTCATAGTGAACGATTTTTAACGGAAATTTCTTCTATATAGACAAAATGGGTCGTATGACCAAAGCTGCTGCTGCTGCTAATTAAAAAAGATTTACACTTTGGAAACAAACTGATGCCGTAAATCACCGGATAAGGTATCCAGGTATTTTCAATTACACGTGATAAAATTTTGATTTGTACCTCGGGTATATTATATGATGTATAATATATGGGAATATTTTGTAAAGAGGGTATATTAAATGGAGAAAAATCTGTATTCTTGCAAAGTCGCTTTAATACAGTTTTATGTTTTATAATACGGCAACCGTCATATATGGTACTTTAAGGTTTTGGTAAATATGCTTTCAAAAGTTTTTTTCACAGTTTTTTTTTTGCAAATTTTTTTTGTTTTTATGTTTATATGATATAAATAAGATTTTAAGTTTTTTTAAGTCATGTTGTGTTTTTTTTATATATTTACATTAAGATAAACTTTTCTTAAGCAATAATTTTTTTTAAGTAATAAATTTTTTTTAAAAGAAAATTATCTTTTTCAGTATGGTATGTTTAGAAAGTATTTTGACAACAAAACTCTAACAAAAAAAACCAGCAATGGTTCATTTGAAAAAACTTTTTATAATATCTTATCTTGAGTATTTCTGGTGTCACAGTATGTGAAACAGCCAATAGATTTCAAATCCAACCTAGCAAATTAAGATTTGAAAAACAAGTAAAAAGAAATATTGTCAAGTGGCTTAGCATTGATATTTGACCAAACGTCTCTGATATTGAAGTAGAATTTACTAAATGGGTTTAGATTTAATGTGTTAAGTTAAACCTAGTTAGTTGTACAATAATACAAACCAAACAAGCAGCATTAGCAAAAGCTTTAAAATATATTTATAAATATTCTAATACAGTCAAACTCCTCTATAGTCACACCTTCGGAATACAAAAAACTGTGATTATAAAGAGGTGTGACTAATATAGAGGTATTTTCTATATAGTTATAAATAATTAGTAAAA